GTCCTGGCCGCCCTCTCATTTGTGAGAAGTAAAAACCCGTCACGTCTCTCCATTTGCAAAAAATCGCTCGGACGGCTACTGGTAAGTTGGTACGCATGTTCTAGCAAATTCTCACTCTGTTTCAGTGACATTCAGATGAAAGGCTAATTTCTGAGGTGAAGTTACAGCTAATTCTATATGAAACAAGATGTCCGTTCAGTAAGTCGCAAAGGTGTTATCATTTTTTATGCTGTCATAAAAACAAAGGAATAAAGATAGGCAAACATTTTACACATTATTCAAAGCACTTCCTTCCTCTTTATCAGTCATGATTCTAAAGTGACCTTGTGTTCACTAGGATAATTGCCAATATCTCGAACTATGGTTTACTATGTCCAAATTTACTAATTTTTTGAAAATTTTCACTTTCATGTTCACTTGATGGTAGATCGAAAATGGGGAAGAACTTTTGCTATGACTATTCATTTTATTTGCACATCGATTGCAAAAAAAAAGTAAAGAAAATGAATCAAATTTTGGTGTGCTCTGAAAAGAAGTATTTGCAAAAAAACAACACCAACTAAGTATTCCAGGAGCGAGTAAGAGATATCCCCATGTTGATTCGCCTCCTAGCATAAAATCCAGAGAAAGAATTGCTCCAATAGCCGATCCAAAACAAACAGCAATATGCAGAAAACAGCTCAGTGAGCCCTAGAAGAGAAGTAGAATTATATGGGGGTGTGTTAGAATAGTAGCGGAATTGACTACCTTGATTTGTTTAGGAGCAATTTGCTGAATGAAAAGTGGTAGCAAAGCACATGCTATTCCTGTGAAAACTCCTGTGAATAACCGTCCGATAATGAGAAGTGGGGTGAAGTTGAAAAGAAATGCAGCCCACCAAAAATTGAAATCTCATCAAGAATCAAACACAGACCTAATAAATTCCAATTTCAGCCGACTCACATGAGGATTGATCCAATCACCAAAATTATGTTATTGAAAAGCATCAGAGCGCTTTTCACACCACAGCGATTCAGTATGGGTGTGACCATGACACAGCCAAGCAGGGCTCCTATGCTCTGACAAGAAACGATTATAGACCTAAATTCAGATGTGCACATTCGACCCAGCCACAGGTACCAACAGCGACAAGCTCTTTCTGCACTGATGCGTACCGAACGCTAACCAACCAAAGAAGTGCTGAAGAGCCCGAGGATAGAGCTGTGCCGAATGTGTTGTACAGGCTTTCGTTGATTGAGCGCTGGATCACCGCTGCTGGGACATTTAGGACGACCATGTGGTAACTGGAAAAATTGATTTGCTTGTTTATTATGGATGAAACTTTTGCTATTTCCTTCTCACTAATTGCGAGCTCAGTCATCTAAAAACTGACAGGGGAGAATATCTAATGAGAGCTGAGATCCCGTAAGCCACCAGAATGTGCAAACATAGGTTCAAGTCTTCGCCGTTGAAATCGGCCAAACTCATGAACTGCAGGAGTTTTTTTTTTCATAATACTACATACAAGCCATTTCTGGAGACAGTTTTATTTTGCAGTTGAGGCGCTGCCGTAGGCATGGTCATGTGCGCTTAATTGAGATGGACTTTGTCACACTGATGGACAAAGTCTCTTTTTGCAAATGAGAACATGCCAATTTATGCAAAGAATCATTACTGTTCTTTGGCTACTAATACGGATAGGGCAAATAAAAACTACATTT